TCCACATAGGAAGGACTGGACTATATTGGGGTGTATATTTGGGTGCCCTATTTCTGGCAACTGCCTACGGAACCTTCACGCCGGGATTCTGCTTTGAGCGCTGAGGGTTTAGAGAACCCTAAACCCTGAAGCCCAAATATTGAACCCTAAATCCTAAACCCAAATTCTTGAACCCTAAACCCAAATCCTAAACCCTCAATCCTGAACCCTAAACCCTAAGCCCAGAACCCTAAACCCCTAGGCTTGAGGGTTTCGAGCATAGGGTCCAAACTGACGCAACTCAAGGTTTGGGTATTTTCTAGGGTGGTAGTAACATGCCCCCTTTTTTTAAAGGTTCTAAGGTTTAGGGTACTCTAGGTAGACCCTTAACCACCATAAATAAAGAGCCTGTTGCAGTTGAACTTGAGGTGGTCGGGGGTTTAGGGTTTAGGTATTAGGGTTTAGGGTTTAGGTATTAGGGTTTAGGGTTTAGGCTGCGGCGGGAGCAGCTGTGGTTTCCTTCAAGTATACCCACACCTCTATAGGATCCAAAAGATGGACCCTCCGAAAAACCCCCTAGTTTCCCCAATGTGGTAGTGCAGTCATTTTGTGAGGACTCCATTTTTTGGATGAACCCTAAACACGAAATCCTGAACCTAAATAATCCTAAACCCTAGACCCTACTTAAATCCTGTAGATAAATGAAGGGAATGACAGCTACTGCCGCCCCTTCAAATCAAGCCCGAACCATCCCTCCTCCCCGGCTAAGTTCAACTGCGACAGGCCCTCCAACTAGGGCCAAGGGTCTACCTAGAGTAACCTAGACACTCAAAAACAGGTACAAATACCTTAGGTACAGATCCCTTTTCTTGACCCTCAACCCTTGACGTCCTCTAGGAGCGTTTAGGCTTGGTTGGAAAATATGGGGTTCAGGGCTTAGGGTTTTAGGGTTTAGGGCTTAACCCTAAGCCCCTAAATCCTAAACCGTTGAAGAATATGGGGTTTCAGGGTTTTGGGGTTTCTAGATGGCTTTCAAAGGCTTCGGGCCCCTTTCAAACTTCCAACTCTGGGCTTCTCGAAGAACTCCTCTATTGTGGTTTAGGGTTTAGGGGTTTAGGGTTTAGGGTTTAGGGGGCTCGCCTGCGGCGGGTAGACCTCTAAAACTCCCGCTCTACCTGAACCCCCCAAAGTATGTAGAAGAATGGCCTTTTGGGCTATATTTGGGTGTTTTGGGCTATTGCTTTACCTACTTTTGGGGTTCAGGTAACCCTTGTGTATTCATCCCTATGTGGCGAAACTCAAGCATATGTGGAGTACATCTGCATGATGACCTGTTGTGATCACCCATTCTTTTGTGAAGTCGTTTCTGGTGCCTTTGGTCTTAGCATAGTGATGGTGAACAACACGTCGCGTGTGCATGTAATGCGAATGTTCCTTCCAACTTCAATAAAAGATTATACTAGTACCCCATTAGGCTCTATTAAGCCCTATATGGTCGTCATTTGCTCCTTAATTAAAACCTGGGGGGGGGAACTTTTGAAACCTAAACACTAAACCACCTCCTTTATACAACATGCCTGCAACGATTAGCCACACTCAGGCAAGTCAAAGTCCCAAAGCCTAGGAGCTCCGATCCACAAACATCACCTAACTTGGCCACTGAAGTTAATCTATATATATATACATATATATGTAGGTTTTGGGTTTAGGGGTTAGGCTTCCAGAAATAACGTACCATCTTGGTACCCCCCAAATTTTAGGTGCCGTACTATAATCTATAACCAAAAGGGGCCATAATTTTGAGAACAACCCATATAATGCTTACTTCTTGGGGTGGGCTAAAACAGAATCCCAGACCCCTGGGAGGATCTAAAAATTAGATCCCCTATTTAAACCCATTAAAACCCCTATATAATCCTTATATAAATTCCCATATGGTTCTAGGGGATCTAATTTTTAGATCCCTTTGGGGGTCTGGGATCTTCTGAGCGGACTCGAGGCGCTTCGTGCAGGTAGACGACGTCGAACCATGTGCGACAAGCAGTCAGCAGCATCAACGTGAAGGCCACGAAAGGCACCGCTATGTCGGCATCGCCTCTCGACTCTACTCCCTTGTGTCCAAGAATTAAAAATTTTTTGGAGAGCTATAGTCCCCCGTAAGTAGATAGAATATGGAATTCTATATCCCCGGAATGTAACTGCTACAGCCAGGATATCTATTGAAAGGGGGAGTTCCCTAAACACTAAACCCCATACTTACACCAACCCTTCTGAAAGCAAAACCGCCTTTCCATGCCAAAGAAGTCTGACTCGAGTAGAATACCACGTGGCACTGAGGACCGCTACCAAGGGTTAAGGATTAGGTACCTATAATGGGGCTTAGGGTTTAGGAATATAAGAGAATCCCAAAGGGTTAAGGGTCTAAGGTTCAAGCTATGTCCCAAATAGAATACTTCCGAAATAAGGCGCTGGTTGGGGTACCGTTCCACCTACCTGGACCCCAAAAGTATGTAACATAGTGGCCCGTATGGCTGTTATTATGCGTTAAGGGCCATTATTTTACATACTGTTGGGGTTTAGGTACTGTTGATGGAGGAAAATCCTGCACCGCAAGTCGAGGAATTACTGCGCTTCAGCTACCGTGAGTGGTGCGTGTGGTTGAGGTCAGGGGAAACCCCTTTCATCTGCTGAGAAGACATGATGGGTCCCCCAAATCCGCAAAGTGGGGAAGCCCTTTTAAACTCAATCACTTGTTCAATTGAAGTGAAATCAATTTGGGATTGGGCCTGTTCCGTGTACTACTACATTTGGGAAACTATGCGGATTCTTGAGGGGTTCCATTTCTTGGATCCATTAGGGGGTCTGGGAAGTAGTCACGAGATTCCATGAACCTTCAATGCGCTAAGGAATCTATGGGGCCACATGTTGATGGTTTAGGGCTTTGGGCGTAAAGGCCCAAAGTTGGATATCAAGGCTGTGGATCGAGCATAGCTGAGGAAACTTGACAACACCATGGCTCGTGCAGAAGCCCTACTTACTTGAAGTGGGGTTTTGGGGTAAAGTATACTACGGCTCTATTCTATGACTCCTGGACTCAAGCCAGAATATACTCCTTATAGGTGCCCCCTAAAGCACCCTATACATTTCCCTGTAGGTCCCCCCAAGCTAGCTGTAGCTCATATGAGGATCAGTGGAGACTGTTGGTACAAGGGGCGGAGTTATCACACATCAGCCGGTGAGAANNGCTGCGTCAGGGAAAATATACATCACTGGGGAAAATATGCATCACAAGATGCAAATCCCCAAGGAGACGCTGTGTTTTGAAGAGCCGGACAGAAGGTGCAAAAATGACGCTTATGTGGCAGACGCTAACGTTTGCAGTATGTTTCGCATGCATTTTGGCCACCCTACATCAGCAAATCCCCAAGGAGAGGCTGTGTTTGGAAGAGCCGAAAAGATTGTGTAGACATGTCATCTACTAGGGGATTTTGCATCAACACCTGCGTGCCATGCTGTATGCTGTCATCAACCAGAGTTTCATGATGATGTTGCTAAAGAGCAGGCATGCCCAAGACATGGTTTCCCCAAGTAGACGCTCAATCGATGCAACGCTAGGAGACACCAGGATGTCACGCTGAAACAGCCAAACTGCATGTAGACGCTGTCATCAACAAGATTTTCCTGATTATGTTGTTAAGGAGTGGCCAAGCCCAAGACATGGTTTCTCCAAGTAGACGCTCAATGGATGCATAAAAAACCGGACCGATGTAAGATAACCCTACCCCTCGTAATTGGAGGGCATCCGAGAGAGTTGGAGCCCAGCGGCCCGCATTGAAAACACTGGCTCACAGTAGTGTGTAATGCGAGGAGGACTGCTCTTCCCCGGAACCTCTACTCTACTGAAATATTTCCGAAGGTCTCCTGCATACCCAAGGTTACTATCATCCCGAAACAAACGATCCCCAAAACGGGGACCATCACCTTCGGGAAACACTGATATTTCAAGGAGCTTGCAAAATTGTTGGTGCCTGCGCCCTGAATGTCCACGCCAGTGCGCGCAACCTCTGTCCTCAGCGTCGGTGCGTCCGTACAGGTTCTCAAGATTTGAGTTCACAAAAACTGTACTCTCCTTAGACCTATAAGAAAAATAGATTTATCATTTCTTCAGGGTTCTACTATAATAAACCTAAAAAATAATTCCTAAGGACAGTACAGAAGAAGCGTATTCCCATGCCAAGCCTAAACTTTAAACCTATACTTTGCAAAGCATTCAGCAATGGCCCAGCGTCAGCAATGGTGACGACATACCTGCAGATAACCTCGCTTTGAGGAGGCGGGCTAGATTACATCAACAGGAAAAGGAAAACGGACAATGATATGCAAACTGGGTTTGTGTAGGGGTTTAGAGGGCTTATGGAAATTCAGGGAAACCTAAATAAGCACTCTGTAAATATCTATGTATGTATATATATATATACACAGTCATATTGGTTGTGAGGTGTTTGAGGAACTCTATGCCATAATTCCACAAGGAATCGAAGATCTCAATATTGGTAATGATTTTGGGTTCTACACTAGTAGGGTCGATTAGAGTTTGGGCTTTGGGTTTCAAGTTTCAAGGTTTGAGGTCGAGGGTTGGGGGGATTTTGAGAGGTGATATAGGAGGGCATGTAAAGGTTCTCCTGAGTAAGCTGTAAGGCTAATGCAGATGCGATTACGCAGATGAGCAGGGTTTAGGGTTCAGGCACTCCCGTAGTTGCTACCCTACCATGTCATACGGACGCTTCCAAAATCTTGTGATCGTTTTCGGAATCCCGGCAATATGGACAAAATGCATCTTGAGGACCCCCGCAAAACCCCTGCCCCTGCTCCTCAAAGTAAGCTGTAGGTTCCCCACTGTTCTCTAAACCCAAAAGTCCTTTGGGCATCACTAAAGTCCCAAACGCTGGGCACTAAACGTGAAAATCCACTTAAAAAGTAAGTACCCAGAGGAAAATATGACTCATTTTGGCTCCAGAAGCAGCACATGAATGGCGAAATCAACCGACTCAGTTTTCTTCCCGATCTCCTTCAGAATCCGCGCAGTGTCAGCGGCCTCTGAACCTTTGAAGAGGCGCATTCAGGGTCTAGGAGAGGTAGGCTTTCGAGTTTAGGACCTAAGTTATTCTTTAGGGATTTCCCCTTAAAATAACAGTTACCACAAGGAATAGGAGCTAGAATAATTCGTGAATCAGGCCCCTTTGAAGACAGTTACTGCGCAGGCAATGCCCCAAACTGTACTGGTGCTCAAGGGACAGCGGCAGTGCATCCCAATAATAGCCAATCTATAAGCCCTCTGATAATCCCTGGAACATCTTCACTCTCACACCCCTCCGCAAGCACCCTTAAGCTACAAAAAACAACAAGCGCTAAACCCTAAAGCACCGAAGAATATGGAAGCTTCGAGGCTTGCTTCCCAGCCCCAAACCCTAGCCCCCGCTTAGCAAGACTGTATGAGCTATAGTCTAAACTCCTTGTATCCCCCTTAATAAGCCATACAACAGTCCCCTAAAAACTCCCCTAAATAACACCACCCTTACGGAGTTTAGACTACAGCTCATATGTCCAAGAGCCCTGGGTTTGGCCAAGTTATCCTAAACCTTACTTGGAGGCCCCTGCGACTTAGTAACGACTTATGACTGGACTTAAGACCCGACGTATAAGTTTCCCTAAATGGGCTTATGGGGTTACCCCAATTATAAGTAGGGTTATTATCCCAGTTATAATTAGTTACTAAGTCCCATGTGCCTCCAAGCAAACCCCTAAGCCATAACGTATCTCAACCAGTACGCCTGTGTCACCTGCTTAAGAATAGATTCGGGTTTAGGGTTCAGGGATTTTGAAAAGGACCTAGGGTCGCTGGACTTTTGTGTAGAGTGGCATACTGTGGCTAGCTGAAATCTTGCACCATCCTCTCTACATCGTGCCATAGGAACGTCAAACCCTAAACCCAAGACCCGGATCCTAAGCGATGCAAGAGTTGCTCCTTAAGCCTGAAGTTGGGAATTTCCCCCCCACGTGACAGCTCATGAGAGTGAGTAACCAATTACTTATAACTTGGCTTAGAACCTTAGCTCGAACCCCCCGAACTGGACCTACATAAGTTGAAAGGTTAGAAGTAAGATTACTACCCAAGTTATAAGTACAGTAGTTACTAAGACCCATGAATCTTCAAGTAGCCCTTTGTCACTCACGGCTTCCACCAATCTACTCCCTAAACGAAATTATGCCGAACAAATATGAACACACATGCCTGTAGAGACCTTTGACCGCAAACCTTGTACTCCCTGACCTCTAGATCCTATGCCTCTAAGTTGCCTGGACTCCTGGTAGAAACCATGATTCCAGCTGGATATTAGGCTTCTAGATAACAGGAGTTGAGCACTATGTGGGGGGCTCCTAAAACTAGGGATACCATTTTGGGATCCGGATATGTCTATATTGGGATCCCAAAGTACTACTTGCAGTAAACTTCCAAATCAATAAGCCTAAAAGGGGTTATGGAACCGTCTACCTCAAGCCCTAAACCGTTTATTCAAAACCCTAATAAAACCCCCTCATCCCTTTACCTAAAAACCTAAAACGGCTACCTAAAACCCTAGCTTACTTGAAGCCCCAAGCCATTGACCCAAAACCCCAGCAAGTCGCACTTCGCATCTCCGATCCGGCCTTCAAACCTGTAGTTTGGGGGTTTAAGGGTTTGGGCTTAAGAGTTTGGGCTTCAGGGTTCAGAGTTTTGGGTTCACGGTTTAACGTTTTTGGAGCCACATTTTAGGTACCAACTCTTGGACCCATAGTCTTGCCAAGGGGGACTTGCTTGGAGGCCCATGGGACTTGGTAACTACTTATAACTGGACTCATAGCCCCAATTATGAGTTCCCTAAATGGGCTTATAGGGGTTACCCGAATTATAAGTAGGGCCATAATCCCAGTCATAAGTAATTACTAAGTCCCATGGGCCTCCAAGTAGGGTTTAGGAATGCAAAAGAGCATGGAGGCTACTATGCTATTTGGGATTTAGGGTTCAGGGTCTAGGATTTAGGGTTAGACTAACTCATACCCTCCCCCTAATATTAAACCCCTCCCCCCACCCCCCCTTGCAAATGGAGGGGATTATGGGGACTATAGGGATGATGGGGTTTAGGGCCCTAAACGCCAAGCCTCCTGGGGAGTTATCATCCTGCCAGAGAGGGTTTGGTTGGTTTCTGAATGGTTCCAATGCTACGGTTTGCCCGATTTCTCCGCAATTATCTGGGGGTTTAGGGGGTTTAGGGTTTAGGGTGCAGCATGTTTCGGTGCAGTTTTCTGCAGCTTTCGTAAAACCCACCACTTGGGTTCCGTTTCAAACATCGCTTGGCAAGTTTCCGGGGCTTCAGGCATAAGCAGTTTGGTTTGCCTCTATGCTTCCCGCAGAAACTTCAAGAAAATCAGAACTTTGCCCGTGGTCACCCATTCCGCCCACAGCCGGTTCAGCTCTTAGGGCTTCAAACTCGAACCCCCCCCCTACAGTAGACCCTAAACCCTAAACCGCTTAAACTTTTTATTAAGGGGCTTCTACCGTGTAGTTCTTTCTCCGGCGATCATTAAAACCGGTAACTCATACTCCTTTCGGGGTTGTAGTGTACCCAAGAAATCTTTAGTATTAAGAAAGACATGAAATAAAACAAAGCACAACTTACTCATCGGTAGTAGGGAATTGGGAGTACAATCCCTACACAATCCCTATATGGTACAGTCTCAGATTCTATACTACGAACCAGTAATCAAAAAAAAACACATCCATCAACGATCCAGAAGCCCATTGCTCAACTGCTGGGCTCCCTGAGATCTTGCGAGGCCATTGACGCGGTCTACCTCCACTTGGAGGTTCTTATGGCAGACGGCAGACGTTGTATGCAGGCTACTAGGGTGGGTGTAGGGTCTAAGGTTTATGTGAGTTCAAAATGGAAATGAAAGTATTGGAGGTTCAGGGTTTAGGGCTTAGGGCCGGAGGGACCTTCGTACGTAGGTGCAAAATGGGGATAGCTGGGGTTACTATAATGATGAAAATGTTGTCCTAAACCTTAAACCCTATACCCCTCCTAGGCTCGCGGATTCGATCTGGTGCCAGGCATGTTTATGGTCAACGGCGTTGTCGCCAGTTTAGGGTTGAGGGGCTACCTGCACCTCCACAATATGTAGAATAATGGCCTTTTGGGCTATATCTTGGCATCTTGAGCTATTATTTTACCTACTTTTGGGGTTCAAGAAAGGCCTATGCACTGAAGGGGAAATAACATGGGATAATGGAGAACCACGAAGAAGAGAAAAGGAAGACACAACAACATGGAACCTGGGGTTATATATAGTCTAAAGGGGAAGAGTACCGATATCATGCTCCTGGGTTCCCTGCACGATTTTGCCGTAGAATACTCCAACAGGAGCCAAGAAACCATTCCGAACTAAGTGAGGGGTCGCTGCCATCAAGCGACAGAAGCCGAACGCTGGCCCAGGGCTCACAGCCCGAGCGCAATGCAGAAAGGGTCGGTAGCGGAGAGGTGAGGGTAAAGCCTTACCTAATTCACAAGCCCACGCCCCGTTTCCTCGAAACCTCAAGCCAACTTTCCCATGAGAAAATGATCGTATATGTGACTTTCATTACTAGGGGGTGGAACCCTAAATTAGAAGGTCCCCTGTTTGGCACTCGTCGCCTCGAGCAGCATGAAGAACATAGCCACGATCAGAATAACAATCCGCCTGATTTCTTGAAGAAGCACTTGGAGGGTAATGGGGAGTTACTAAGTAGGTTAACAACCCCAATACCCCATATAGTAACCCTAATTATCCCCCTCATTAACCTACTTACTAAGTCCCCTTAATCCTCCAAGCAAGAGGCCACGCAAACGACCAACCCTAAACCCTAAACCCTATTGACATTGGGGGACGGCGACTGGGGTTTAGGCTGAGGGTTCACGGACTAGTAAACTCATCCTATGGCTACAGTCCCCCTTAAGTAGATAGAACGTAGGTTTAGGGTTTAGGGCTTAGGATTTCGGGTTATAGCCCCCCTTGAGTAGATAGAATCTGGGGTATATGAGGATCTTTTTTTATAGTATTAAAGGGGACTATACATAGAAAAATAAAGAGGCTTTTGGAGCCCAGTTCATAGTGATCAGGGTTTCGGTGTAGGGGTTCAGGCTGACACCAATCAATGAACGACATGTCATGATATTCCGAAGGCCAACAAGGATTTCAATGTGGGGGTTGCCAGAATGTGTGGTCTGTATTTGGGTCCTAAATACAATGGACACTAAACCCGAAACCCTAAACCCTTCAAAATCTCCACTCCCCAGTGGCATAAGGTTTATGAGCTAGAGTCTAAACTCCAAGTGTCCTCCATAATTTAATCGTACAATGCTTCCTATAGAGTCCCCTATATAACCACCCTTTTAGGAATTTAGGTTATGGATCATTTAGCGGCTCCAGGTGGCCTCTATTAACACTTCTTGGAGCCGTACCATGCGAGGGCCTCACAAATCGATAGTCCTTGCGACGACCTTCCAGATGGGTAGTTCCCAATGCTAGGGTCCCATTTTGGTACCCCTTAATATCATATAACCTATAATCAAAAGGGGCCCGTGATTTCGAGAACAGCCCATATGCCTTGACTATTTGGACTTTGAAGATCCTAGTTGTCTTTCTTACCTGCGGCTCCATGTACCTACAGTTTTATGCGTTCTACCTTACCTACTAAATAGGGGTAATTACTACTAAGCTGTAGGTAAATGGAGCCACAGGTAGTTCATAGCTAGCCAGGCTTCGCCACTGACCCAATTCCCGAACTTGCCAGCCTTGACGCAAAAAGAGCAATAGCATCCAACTCCTCACTCAAAAGCAACTGCCTTAATCCTTAAGTATCACACCCAACCCTAAGCTGCGCTGCTTAGGGTTCCCCGAAAAAAACAAAGAAGGAACCCAACTGCTTGACAAACCCAATCCGGGCGCTGCTCCACATAAGGAATGCGAACGGCATTGCCCTGGAAAGTGTAATTTCCGCGGACTGTGTGCCATTGAAAGAGCAGGGCACAACACCTTACTTCAAAGTCACATTGACAACGCTAAGCACACTAAACCTGAAAGCGTTGGCAAGTTGCATACCTGTATGTCTACATCTTTAAAAGGATCACCAAAACCAATTGTTTGGTCTTAACTGCGTGGCGCTTAGGAACCCTACTAAGGGTTATCCCTTAGGTACCTGTAATACTAGTATGAGGGAATCCCTCAGGGTTAAGGGTCTAAGGTCGAAGCTAAGTCCCAAGCAGTTCAGACAACTTACAAACCTACGGTTCAGGGCTTAGCGTAGACTTAAAAATCCTAGTTCCGACATCCCTAAACCCTTGAACCCCTTAACGCTAATGCCTGAGTCTTACCTAAACCCCAAAAGTAGGTAAAATGGCTCAATTGAAATAGCCCAAGTGGCCATCATTCTCTAAACCCTAAACCCTAAGCCCTGAACCTGGGAGCTCCGTTTGCTGCTTCTTCTTGCACGCCCTGAAAAATCCTTGCAAAATCTCCATAAACAGCGTACATCTTCCCCATTATTTGAGTGGGGTTTGGGGTTCAGGGTTTAGGGGTTTAGGGCTTAGGGGGGGGCTCTTCCTAAGCTCACACTTACAACGCAATAGTCCCTACAGCCTACAGCTTTGCATGAACCCGTTTCATGTTGGATTTTTGTTCCATTTGACTTTGGAATATTAAACTTCAAAGGGTATTTCTCCCAAGCGCGGTACCTTGCCCTAAGCTAGCACGGAGCCCACAAACGAAGAAGTCCAGTGTCTGGTTAAAAATTGGGCATCTGCAAAGGCTACTTGCACAAGATCCCATGGCTCAGAACTGGGCAACTGCAGTCCAGCTCAACTAAATCAGAAGCGATGCAGGACCATGTGGACAGTAAAGGTCAAACACCCCCAAGCCAGGGTACCAGAAACTGCGCAAACTCATGTATGCATATCGGATCTCACGCGGTATCACTCGGTATATGCATGCCGGCAGAGAAATTACATGTAATTGTCCGTCTTCTTGCCCTCTAACATAAACACAACGGAATCCCCATCTAGCCCCTACGTAGCCCCCATCCAGCTCTATCTTCCAACCCTAAAACCTAAACACCGAATCCTAAACCCTAAATCCTAAACCCTAAACCGTAACCCTAAATCCGAAACCCTAGCCCTCCAAAGCAAGACCCAGGGGCACGAGTATCCCGACTCTGTTTAGCATCATCCTGCATGTGTCGCCTCGGGCATTTGCCTGGGATGCTGCTAAGGAACTTGAAAGGTTTAGGCGGTTCAGGGTTTAGGGTTACTGTATTTCCCGCTATAATGAAAAATCAGATGGAATAGAACATGGAACATGAAATGGAAACTGGGGTAATATGAGCTATCGTCTAAACTCCTAGTCTCCCCCTTAATAACCCATACAGTAGTAGAGATTTGAGGAATTTGTATTTAAGTCTCAGGGCTTTAAGAGCATCATAGGTGTAGGGTGTAGGGGCATGTAATATACGGTTTAGGGTTACCAAAATATTGTTAGATTGTAAGTAATAGGGCTTCCTCATAACTATTATGACACGGAAAAGCTAATATTTACAAAATGTGGTAACATTAAACCCTATATACCCATGTTATGGTAACTTAAACTAAGTTTCCTATCAGCAACCCAGTAGCACTCAGAGTTGCGGCCAACACAGCGACGCCTTGGTAAAGGCGGGTGAGTAGTTTCCCGGCATGTAAGAACAACAAGGGATTGTGTCTGGTTTTGTCCCTAAACCCTAAGCCTTACATCCTAAACCCTAGTGTTCAAGGGTTGAAGGGTCAAGGGATTTCAAAGGATACGACTTTTGTGCTTAGAGTTTTTGGGATTACGGCAGGCTTGAAGACTGAGGTTTGATGTTCAGGCTAGGGCCGGTTCGTGGGGGGCGGAGGGGTGGTGTAGGGTTTGGGGCTTGGGTTGTAGGGTTTAAGGCGTAGGTCGGCTACATGTGGTTTCGATGTAGTATAGGGGACTGAAGATAGAGTGTTCAAGCGGTCCAGGGCTCAGGGCTCAGGGTGACATTCCGTATGACCACTAGGATTCCCAGACACGTGGCCCTAAACCCTGCAACTAAGATGTAGGGTTCAGGCCTTAGGGTTTAAGGTTGTTTTCGAAAGCAACAAAGACTCCAAAAGTTTCATCCCAGACACACAGAAGCAGCGGATGAGCTTCATGTTGATACCTGGGCTGTCCAGTATCTAGAGCTTTCTGAGGATTAGCCTTTTTGGTTATGTTGAATCCTAGATTGCCCCCCAAAAAATGTCGAACCCTAAACCCTCAATCTTAAACCCATACCCTAAAAGCCACTTTGCAGATGAGATCCCTAAACCTTAAGCCCTAAACCCTGAACCCTAGACCTCGAACCCTGAACCCTCAATCCTAAAACAAAAGCCCTTCGCCCTAAATCCTGAACCCAATTCACAAAGCCACTGTTCAGATGTATCCCCCTTAATAAGCCATAACAGAATCCCCCATATAATCCCCTGCGTAACCCCCCTTTAAGGAGTTTA